GCATTTATTGCCTTTGTTAATATTTTTCATATACACTTATCCCTATATATAATTTTATGTTCACTTTGTAGGTTTTTTGAAGTTGAGAGATTGGTCTTGTAATGGATGAAATAGAATTAATTTTTGAGTGAATCTGTTAAAAACAGTTTAGGTATATACTTGATAATTGATTTAAAATATGGTAACTTATTGTTATGAAAAAAATATAAAGAAATTTGGTCAACTGGCTCCATTATTATTGATGATGATTTAAATCTAGAGTAATATGTTTCATTAAGTCAAATTGGTAACTCCATTAGATGAGAGAGAAGGATGGAGAGAGCAAGGTTGCTTGCCAGAACCCCTCCAGAAATCAATTGGCAGGTTTTGATATGTTACACACAAATTGTTTATTAGAGTTTTGGCAGAGTTTTGCATTTGGGGGGTTTTGTAACAAAGTTACATGTAATTTTAATTGCTCGCTAATTAAATTTCTATTATAACACTAATTTGTTGGGATAATCAATTTATTATTATTATATCTGATATCTTCCAGGTAGATTATTAACAATAAGATAATTACTAGATTATTTATGTTTGAATAATATATTTATTATGTATTTTAATATAAAAACAGTACATTTTTAAGAAATAAAAATAAACTTGTATTCTTACAATAATTAAAGCACTTGTTTGTAAAAACATATTTTTATTGCAACTTTTGAAAAGAAATTCTTACGCTTGCTGAATAGTACATGTGAATATATTTCAATTACAACTGATTTATGGACAGCTAAAAGTAAAAGAGGATATGTTAGGAAATAAAGATGGCTCCGAAATTGTTTTTAGAAAAAAAGTAATTTTGGCAAACATTTCAGCACTGCAATATCTTTCATATAAACCTATAAACCTGCATTAAGAACTACCTGACATTTCGGCTATTGAGTTAAAGTGCTCAAATAATTTCTACAATAATTTTGGAAACTATAAAAACTAATTTCAACATTTCAGATTCGGTGCCATCTTTATTAGGAAATAAATATTAATACAATGTCAGTAATTTGTATTAGTAAATTTTTTTAATTAATTAATGAGTGAAATGAAATAAGTAATTTTTTCCTATATAATAAAATTTCTTTGAATAAATCCATAATTGTAACATCCATCATATACATAATGATAACTGGTTTATTTATTTTATATATATTACATTATCTAAATGTGATTATAAGATGTATTTGTCTTAAAATTCAAGAATACCCTGAGGAGACTCCTCTCTCAGGAAGATAATTGTTGCTATTTTGATGGATAGACACTTTAACAATTAAAAAAAAATAATATTGCTTTTACTTAATACATGAAATATTATATGATATGTGTAAGAATTTTATTTAAATCCTTCCCAAGGTAAAAATGATTGAATTTGTCTGACTTACTGGTATCAAGCACCCTTTCTGACCAAATTTTATGATGTGAGCAAAGTTCATTGTTACAGCTTTTCCCTTGTTTGAAGGAATTAAGACCAAAGACTATATAATGCATTTGTGGTTTTTCATCTGGAGTTAAACATGTCCCAACACCCCAATTTGCCTCTCGAATTTCCAATTTGTGAGCACCAATCTGCCAGTACATAGCAATGTAAGGAATATTGAGGGGTCGCAAGTTACTGCCTTCGAGAACATAATTAGGTGTAAGATAGGATGTTGAATCTACTTGAATATTGGAATCACCATAGGGTCGGTTATGATTTTTGATTTGAATAAGCCAAACTGTATATTGAGTTCCGACTTTGACTGGAATTAAGATTATTACAATCACAAAGGTTATCACAATCACAAAGGTTATCACGACCACCATCAAAAGTTATGACTAACATCTATATTCTTGATTGGTATTATTTGGATGGTGTGTCTAAAAGTTGGTTGGTAAGCATCATCATAATTTTGTCATTGCCATATCTTGTCAATTCTATCTTCAATATATTATCATAATAAAAAAAGTTAATTCTGAAATTTCAAAAG